GCTCAATTTAGTGTTTGGATGGGTGAGTGAATACTTTTAGCAGTTTAGTGTAGGTGGATAGTTACATGAGGGATGAATGGATTGACGATCGATCTATAGATAGACAGATGGACAACAGCGATGGCCATGTTAGCAAATGAGCTTTCAGAAAGAGTAGAAACACTGATATTTATCTTTGTGTCGTATTGATTTTTGTGTATCATATCAAACAAAATGTTGCGTTGACTTCAGCGCAGCGAGAAATCCGTCTTATGGTGTTTGGTTCACTGTCATCCTGTCAGGTTTCCTGTCTTGTTGCCGTCCTGTTGGCTGAGCCCTTTGTGACCCTTTTATAAATAAAGGTTTATGCACAAACGTACTGCTGATAACACCACACATATCTATGTAAGCCCTGCACACATCCACCCATTCAACCATTCCTACCAGCTGTCTCTCTCGCCTTCATCCCTCCATCCCTCAGCTGTCCGACAGAGGAGAGAGGGAATAACTAATAGTTCATTTTCCGGAGTGCTTTGATGTTTTCTTGGAAATGACTAAGACGTCGGCCGAATTCATGACTTTTTCTCTCTGTTGTGTCCGTTCTCTTTTTACCTAAACCATCCTTCCACTCCCGTCCCAACCACCTTTTAAGTTTTACGTTTTTTCATCCATCTCGATGCTCTCTCTTTCTCTCTCCAGTTAATACGCTCTAAACCAGGACAAGTTTGTGTGAAGCCTATTTACTGACTCACACAGCCGCAATAAATCCCTGCAAATGCTCCGCTCACACACAAACACACTGAACCACTGACTCTGAATTCTATTTAAAAATTCTGTTTTGTTTTTTTGCTCCCTGCTGAACTGATGGACTCAGAAAGAACTTTAAAAATATGATCTAAGGGTGAGGATCATATTGCACATAGTGGAAAAGTAATGCAATTTTATTTTGGGCTAAACTTTAGCTTCTATTTGACGTTATTCATGTCAAGAGCGCCATCACCACCAGGCCTATTCGAGGCCAAAGAAAACAACAAAACATCTCAATCTGGATAAAGGTTTAGGACTTACATTCCTGTAATAACAGTGTTTTGTTCAAAATTGACTCAAAAGCTGTTTCATAGACTGGTGTGGGTTATTGTTTCTTCATCACTTAAGCTGGAAAATGACTGGAGACGTTTCCAAAACACGCGACTGGTCTTTCACCTGCCAGCTCCCCTCGTAAAAAGCCAGAGCGACGCATTGTGCTAAGGTGCAAATAGCACAGGTGATAGTCTGGTAAATACACAGAGCGAGTGGCTGGCATGCATCTCTGCTCTGGCCTTTCCACTGCCCTCACTATTCAGAGACAATTTAATGTACTGCAAACTGATTTGAAGTGGAACGATCCAGAACCCTCTGAAGTTCAGACTCTCGACTTTAATGAAAAGGGTTGAACAAAGTCATAGCATTAGCTGTCACTATTGTTAAGGTATCTATGCATAAAAATGAAGCAGATGATTCCCTGGATGGTGCTTTGCAGTTTATATGGACAGTGGCCCAAAACATGCAGTCGAAGCAACCCAGATAAAGTTAACAGCTATGTTTTTATGGACCATTTCGATTGTAGTTTAACTTTTATATGCACATTGGCACATAGCATTCGTGCATAGTGTTGATGCCTGCATGATACACTAAAGTCTGTAAGCACAGACTTAAACAGCTGTCAGACCAACCACAGCGCTCTCATCTCGTCTCCCACGTACAGCCCAGTGTATCCCAGAACAATGGGTGGATGCTATAAACTTATTTTAGTTTGGAAACACAGAGACGCCATGGGAACCCCGAGCTAGTCCCCCCAATCCCTCACTGTCACTCCAAATGACCCCATATATGTATATGGATATATAGAGAGAGATATATAGAT